GAGATACGGTGAATGTTTATGCAGGACGGATAGAGGGTCGTTATACTCTCCCTCAACCGGATATCATGGCGCGAATCTCGCTCGACATCGATTATGGATCGACAATTACCGGAAAAAGAAGATTATTACCTTTTTTATACTTATACTAGGACTGAATCTGTCATACTATATAAAGGAAAAGTTTTCCTTTAGTCTAACACACTGCGATACGCAGTTCAAGGCAATAAAAGTTTACTTTTGTTCTTCAGCTAATGTTAAATGCATTATTCACTTGTTTTGTTCTTTATTTGCGACTAGGCTTGAACCGAGGGTCCAATCAAGGACGAGTTTACTATTCAATCTAAGATCGGTCCTGATCATAACGTTGCGAGTGGTTTAATCGTTTATTTCACAGTTATTTCATTTATCTATTATTCTTAATTATTCGTGTTAAATTAAATCACGTATCCTTTAAACGTACAAATTTAATTGTTACCCAATTTGGGGATAAACAATTTGGAGCCCACCGTGGGGGTAAGGATAATAGTGGTGTTTTGATACGAATCTCCATAACACACACTATTTTACGCTTGTTCTTTAAAATCTTAATTCCGGGGCAACCTAAAAATGTCAAACTCTCAGTCTGCTGAACGTCGACGCTGAGTCAGGCCATCATGATGAAAATAATAATGTGGTGCCCAGTAATGATGTGCTTTTCGCCGATCCCAACGGTGTCCTAGGCACCGACCCAGGTGATGCTAACTCGCATGTGGCCATCAACATCAATTTGTCAATTTATCTGGAAAACAGTGTTTGCGGGGGACCCCGACCAACAGCTCGAGAAACGCCCAAAGGTGAAGGTGATGGGATGAGCCTAGGGCTAATTTTCGAAATGTTGCAGGATCAACAAGCGGCAATAGTATAGTTGCATAATCGAAGCCACGCCCCCAACAGGGTCGAGCCCGAGCAATCTCGGGGAAGCACTCAAAGAGACGAACAAATTACCGAGAGACCGGGTGAAGACGAGCCTGGGATAAATTCTGAGGTAATGAAGATACTCGAAGCGTTGATGAAACGGGTGGAGTCAGGCGAGAAAAAGATTGAGGCTAATGACAAGAAGGAAGAAACATACAAATCTAGGGTCGATCGGATCCCCGAAGCATCCCCGATATTGAAGGGACCGGACTCCAAAAAATTTATCCAGAATCATTTTCCTCCGAGCGCGGCACTAAAGTCGATCCCAAAGAGGTTTTGTATGCTCGACATCCCCAAATATAAAGGGACCTCGGATCCAAATGAGAATGTGACCTCCTATATGTATTGGGAAAAAACTGAATTTATATAAGATGACGTGTCATGACACGTGGACCGGTCAAATAGTCAAAGCGTGGGTAATCAGTTAGAAGGCACGACCAACAACAGATGCGAGAGAGAAGATACTTAAAGGCACGAGCTATTATTCAAATGAAATGAGACTCGTACCTGTTCGAGTCATTTAAAGCTCGAAGATTGGAAGGAATTGAAGAAATGAATCTGATAGCGTAAAGGAATCCAAATTCAGCATTAAATGCCAAATACGTTGAGAGAATTCGTATTTAATAGGAATGATTGAGTAACGTTTCTTTTAATGTCATTTATTGCTCATAATTGCCTCATTAAGACAAAGGCATTACACTTTCTCCTAGAATTAACTATAAAAGGGGAAGGTCTCAACATCTGTAGGACACGAAATATCATTGAGATTATACTGAAATATATACTTATTCATTGCTTTATTGTTGTTCTCAAAGTCTCTCATTTCTTGATTATCAGTAACCCGATTTCTCTCTTAATTTCTAGCTTTAACCAAATATTAAGTTTTTTGGTTAAACAAATTGGTTCCGTTATCGGGAATCTGATAATCTATTCTTTTTAAGTTACATTTTATCTGTTGTTATCATCATGTCAAACAACAACAACAACAACGGTGATGAAAATCAAATCCATCAGAATCAAGGAGATTTACAAAACATTAACGTGGTTCCTTCCCTTCAAAATTCACCACGTCAATCTCGTGAAGGTACTCCTGCTCCTGAATCTCGTGCTGATGAACAAGAGCAATCTGAACATTTTGAAGGGCCAGATGAAGCTTTACAAAAAGTAATTGATGCACGGGTTAGCGAAGCTCTTCAAGCTCTAGTTAGTCGATTACCTGTTGCACCACCCACACCTACGCCTAATAACACTACATTGGAGAATCCTCGTTCTGGCCTTGTTAATTCTGAAAATGGAGGAACCCCCAGTGAACCACAGGAAGGAGAACCAAGTAATTCAAATAATTCTCATTTGCAAAATTTAGTACTAACTTTGCAGAAACAGCTTAAGGAACAAAATGAGCGCATCGAGCAAATCCCTGGAGTTCCCCCTGTAATCAAAGGAGTGGATGTGGATAAATACTCGCAACAACCTTGGAAACCAAGTGTTGCTCCCCTTCCAATCCCTAAAAAGTTCAAAATGCCTGACATCTCGAAATATGATGGCACAACAGATCCACGTGATCATGTAACTGCATTTACTGTGAGCACGTGATTTTTGCCACGCTTAAACTACTCCTACAAAATTCCATAGAATTAGGATTTTTCTTTATTATTTCGATTTTTAGGAATTAATTGTATAATTGTCGTGTTTATTTGCATTTTTTATGTGTACATTTTTAATATTAGCATAATTCATCTAAAAAATACAAAAATACGCATTGCATTGTCATTTAGGACTTAATTTTACATTTTTTAATTAGTAATTAGGGTTTTACAAAAATACAAAAATCAAAAATTGATGTGTTGCTTGGTTTTAATTTTTAGTTTTGAATTTTATTAGTTTTCTTTAAACTGGTATTTTACTAATAGTTTTGATTATTAATTCTAGCTTAATATAATTAGGTAGATTAGCTTAATCTTTTAGGTTTAATTTTAGTTCTATTATTAGGAAAAAAAAAAGAAAAGGGATTAAAAGAAATTGGAAAATTGAAAAGAAAAGGAAATTAAATAGGGTCTTTTGTTTCAGATTTTTGGACCTTGTCCAATCTCTAAAAAGCCAAGCCCAAACCCCTCAGTTCATCTAAACTCTACCCAGGCCCAATTTTATCACCCAGTTCGGTCCAACCCAACCCCTGATCCGGTCCAGAGACGCCCAAAACGACGTCGTTTTGGTGTCAATGGATCATGACCGTCCATCTCCTCAAATCTAACGGCCTGGATTGAATCTTGAATTAAAATAAAAGTGTCTAAATAACTCCCTAACCCTAGAGACTGTTCCATCATCCTCGTACCAATCCCTCCCCCTGTAACGCCGGCCGTCGCTCCTCCACTTCTCCACCGTCCTCCGCCGTCCGCCGCCGGCCGGAAATCGCCTCCGCCGGCGGCGATTCTCCGATGAACCCCAAAATTACACCATAGATACTCCTCTACCTCCTCTTTCCATATCCGGATTTAGTTTCCCTCAAATCACAACCAAACTCCTCGAATATTAAATTAAAATTCCGGCCAAAACCCTAACTCTTCCAAATCCAACCAAAATCACACCCTATAGCCTCCTTGACCTCCTCATCCCGAATCTCGAACCAAAACCCTTCGAATCCAAGTGAAACCCCATGAATTTCAGATCTAGGGTTCAAAAATTCCAACCTGTTTTGGGAGTTTCAAGTATTCGAGTGATTTTTAATTAATGTTATATGTCTATTTTTGACAAAATAGACATATAACATTAACTGAAAATCAAATTCGAGGTCCGCCCAAATGAAGACCAAAATCAGTGAGTTCTTGTTCTTTTTTTTGTTCTTTCTGTTCCTTCTTAATCTTTCATCTTCTGATTAAAACATGTAAATGTCCTTCTTGGTTTTCTGATTAGTTTGAAATTTTGTTCGATTTCTGCTTTATCTTTGATTCTGTTGGTTTAAATTTTTGTTCATGTTTAAATCTGTTCTCATGATTTCTTTTGATTTAATTGTTGTCTTGTTCCTATTTTGTGATTCTAGTTGAATTGTTGCTTTGATTCAGTGCTTATTAGTATAGGTTTTAATTGTATTAGCTAGTTAATTAAATTAGATTTTCTTTTAATGTTGCTAATTGTTCTTAAAGTTAATTTTGAATTGTTTTCCAGTCTTGACAGTTTACTTCGATTGTTAGAATTTCTGTTAGTTTTAGTTTTGTTGATTGGTTATAGCTGATAGTTCAACTAGTGTTAGTAATTCTAGGTTGAATTCAAGGGTAGTTTAGACATTTAGGATTGGATAGCACATGGTAGTTGAAACTAGAATCTTCTAGGACCTTCCAAAGTAGGACCTTAGTGTAATTTCAGTAATTGTAGTGTATTAACTTGTGACACAAGTCAGGAAACAAGGGGTTAAATGAGTAAATAAAGAGGGACTGGAATGAAAACAAAAAATCTGAGGGTTGCCCATTAGTTTGCCTATATAAGGCAGTCACCTCTGCCTTGAAAAGGAAGTTGGACTCTCTCTAAAAAATTCCCAAAAGTTTGAACCCCTGAAAATTCCCTGAAAGTTTTGAAACACCTGAAAATTCCCAAAAAAGTCTAAAAAATCTGAAAACTCCCCCCAAAAAGTTTCTGCAAGTTTGAATCTGGAAAATGTTGAATTTCAAATTCAAAAAACCAAATCTGAAATCATTTTAGATCTTAGTTCTTCAAAAAAAAACCAAAAAACACAAAAACTCAAAAATACTGTTCTATTGAATTTCTTCATAGTAATTTGTAGTTCCAGCCCTTCAGTAGGAATTCCTAGCTTGTCAAAAGTCCAAAATGGCCGGAACATCTCCTGGTTTTCAGTAATTGAAGTTTTAAAAGGCTTCTGGGTTAATTTCCAGCTGAAATTGGTCTATTCGAGTCTATTTTGGTCTGTCTACTGGTTGTCATCTCTGGGATTCAAAGTTGGAATTACTGCCGCTGTTACCTGCTGTTTAACACTGTTATTAGCTCACCACTGCTGCTGATTTCTCCTCCTTGCTTGTTTGTATTTCAACTTCCAGGTACTTGCTTAATCTCTAATGGCCAAAAGCTAAGACAACTTGTAATCGAAGTTTTGATGTGAAGTGAAAGACTGATCTGGATGCCTGAACTGTTCAAATTCATGTTTACTCATGTGTATTGTTCATATAACAAATTGCTCTTAATAATTTCATGTTTAGCTTACTTGTGTACACATTAGCTTACACGATAAATTATGTAGTAGCAGCATTTGAAACATAGACGACCTGGACTTTTGACAATTGTAATAATTGGACTGCTATACTAGTGTGTATTCATTCAGTAATATTTAGCTTTAGCGTGAGTTAATTGTGATGTTTGTTTTTAG